CGATAGTCCGCCACCGAAAGGACGTCCGGCGCGCGGCAGAGGGCGAGGGAGGGGTCGACCGCCCGGACGGCCGGCGAAGAAGGGGGCGAAGAAGAAGAACGACAAGACCACCAAAAAACAGGCCATCGATGACAAGAAGTCGTCGGCGAAGTCGTTGGACACGGATCTCACCGATGATACTAAACGTCGACATCAGGTGTCGGCCGACACTCTCCTCAATGTTAAGAGCGAATCAATTGAATGTATGTCTCAATCAAATGACCGTAGTCTGCAAAAAAATTATATAAATCTCTTTTTGTTGTTATTATCCAACAGTTGATGAAAACCTGGCCTCAGATCTGGTAGTGAGCGCACCGTCGATGACGCCATTCGTCAGTCCCAGCGCTAAGCCTTTGCACCGAAACGAAGCCCTGAACTGGAAATATAGGGTTAATCTGATCGGCGAAAAGGTGGTCAACCCTCGCATCCATTGCTGCGACAAATGTCTGCTACCGATCCTCGTCTACGGGCGTATGGTATGTGTCTCTCAACACATAACGCCATGTTTTGTAACCATTTGCTTGTATTATAACCGCCGATGTCTATGACGTGTAGATCCCGTGTAAACACGTGTTTTGTCTGAGTTGTGCGAAACAATACGAGAGTCTGTGTCCGCGTTGTGGCGATAAAGTGCTGAGAGTAGAGAAGTCGGGTTTGGGAACAGTTTTCATGTGTCAGACCGACTCATGTAAGCGCACATATCTGAGCCAACGCGACCTTCAGGCGCACATTCAACACAGACATATGCGGAGACCGCCCGCCGGCACCGCCCAAGCCGTAGCCCTCAACGCGTCCAACATCTCAAACGTGATAATACCGGCGCCAGTCATGAAAGAAGTGGCGAACGCGCCCTCATCTGTGGTCATCACCGGTTCGCGACTCTCCTCCTATCAGAACAGCTCATTCCAGAGTCCAATACCAGTGGTCTCTTCGCGCGGCTCTAATCTCATAACAGTTCCCATTCAGGACGAGGTAAGCAGTGGTGGTCTCAACCCTCACAGCCCTTCCATCACTGGTCAGTCCTCATCACTGCTTCTGTCTCCACAACAGCCCGTCTCTACGTATGTCTCGCAACAGCCGTACGGACACCACAACCTTCAGTGGCCATCCGTTTCGCCCAACAGTACGTTCAACACGTATAGAGCGCCGGCGCCCACACAATGGCCTCCCATTAACCCATACGGCAATCCATACAACAGACCTTATTATCCACAATGAATGCATTCATGCAAACAGTTTGATAAATATTTTGCATTTTATTTGTTAATTATATAATTTTGTGATCAAAATTTTTATAAAATTAATCCAAATAAACATTAAATAATTATTTCAAATCAAATTTTATTGTTTTATTGAATCAACAAAAGTTATTTTTAATTATTTTTTTGAATGTAAACTTTAAAATAATTTATAAAACAAAATAAAACATAACAATTGAATTGACTAAACGTCTGAAAAATTTGAAAAAATATTCTGCTAAATGGTTTTCACTGAATTATATTTGTATTAAATTTTGTATGAGTAGTATTCTTATAAATATAATTCACATCAAACAGAATTTTCACTCGATTTCTCGTAATCACATAATGCTTTCACGAACTCTAAAGAAATGGTTATAATTTACTTAATTATAAGAAATAACATAAAATAACATTAAATACAAACTGGGTTTAGATTGAGTTCAATTGGGGCGTCGATAGTGTATAAGATTGTTGCGCCCGAACTCGATGTTCGGTTGAGTGGCCACTTGAGCCAACCGGGCCTCTGGAGTGGTTGGTAATGGCACCTGAAAATTGGGGCCGCGGTTGCCGTTTGGTTCACGATTTGGCCGCAAAATGGCCACAATTCGGCCGAAAATCCCATTCGCGTTGTTCGGGTTGTTCTGAGTGTCCATTTTTGCTTGTTTTTTGCCAACGAATCTGCACTAAAAAGCTAGCGATTGAATGGATTAAGTGCTTCACTATTGAAGTAATGAACAGAGAATTGAAGCTATTTTTGCATTTATATCACATTTGTTACCATCCTTTAAAACAGCATTTAATTGTTTTAAATAATAATTTTTAATTCTTATCACTGATTGGTGTATCTCTAGCCGAGGGATGAGACTATTGTATGCAAAACAAAACCATATTAGGAAAACTATTTTCTATATATCGATAAAACTTATTTAACTTGCTCAGTTCAGTAAGTTATTAACATTGTTTATAATTATTCAGATCATTATAGTTTTAAATAACAAATTTTTAGCATTATACATTTATACGTTACCACAAATTGAACCCAATTTAAAATTTGCGATTCATAATCACAGGATGCAATTGATGTCTGCAATTACCTAGATGCAATTTGAATTGAATAAATTATTGTTTTTTACAATTAGTTTCACAAAACATTATGCATTTTATTTGTTAATTAAGAGATATTTATAAAATTAACTTCATTATTCATTAAATAAAATACAATTTAATTATGGAAAACAATGCATTCATATTAAATTAAAATCATTATTTAATTGCGAAAAATACATTAATAATAATGTAGTTTTTCTGATACCTTAAGTAATGGCTTAAAACCCTGAAAACCGAACCCATTTTCGTAAGAAATAATGTAAAATAAAAGTTACTGCCATTTGGGGTGTTTGGGAATGAGTCGGACTGCAGACAGTTTATTAGCCATCTCTTTAATGAACTCAGGATTTGGCATTTGATTCACCATTTCGTCAGAAAGTACTTCTTTCTTGGGTTCGGTTTCTCTCAACCCGTCGTCTCTCTGACCATCACTTTCTCTATAATTGTTGTCTTCGACCGTAACGTCAGTTCTGGCGCTTAGGCTTTGGATTGGATTCGTTGTGGTCTTACGTCTCGACTGCGGTCTCACTCTCTTTTGCACTAATCTGTAAATCATATCCACATTTTTGACCATTTTGTATGCATTTACGTTAATATTAATAAAAAATTATTTCAAATTAACAAAACTTTTACAAACAATATAAGAACACAGAATCGTGTGTTTAATCATTACTAACAAGTTTAATCAGTTTAACAGTTTAATCATTGTAAGTGAAACCCATTGAAATATTTGTGATAACTGTATAACATATACAGATGGGATATACTTACAGGTCTGACACTTCGGTGCCAATCATAGCAAACGATTCGTCACTAATTGTTTTGTTTGTTCCGTTAGTTTTGGATGTATTGCCGAAGAATTCTTTAAATCCTTCGTCTATTTTATACATTCCAATCACTTCTTTGTCAGCAATTGATTGGATTTCATGATCACTGGAATTGTGTCCAGTGGTCACCACTTTCGGTGCAACACAACCGTTACAATTAGGTTCAGGCGATGTCATCGAGAGCTGACCGGTGACCGACTTTTTTGTATTCATTTCTGTTTAACTAAAATATAATTTTAATATTTAAAGAATACTAATAAATAGTTATAAATCATACGTTTCGCAAACTTTTAAGTTATAAAAATATATTTTAAATGAAAGTTTAAAATATATTTTGATTGTTTTCATAGTAAGAATATAAGAATGCAATTCGTATATGATTACAATATTTATATGTATTTGATATAAGTTTGTCGTAAAAATTATAAACATAATCAAAAGCATTTTATAAATCAAAATTTGATTTTAATTGTAAACAAAGTTTATGAAACATCCTTTTCTTTCATTATATGAATTTAAATACCAATGAATTTTGTTTTCGTTAATGACTTACAATAACTGTTAGCTTTTTTATTATCTCAAAAAAATTGTAAAAATATATTTTACAAAAATATTGTTTGCATTTAAATAATCAAATGATTAACAACTTATGGTATATCACATGAATTGTTCCCATAAATAGTTAGCACTCACTCTTAAGATCTTAAATCCCTGTCTATTGATCCCATTCTCTAAATGGCAGACATTTAAGATTTTTGTGAAATTAAAATCCTTTGGATAACTTACTAACCAATTGGAGTGCATATCCTATAACCTTGATCATTCTATTGTAAAGTATAGTTTAATTTTTAATAAACAATTTTACCAAATATTATAAAGATATAAACAATTCAATCATTGATTAATAAATTAAATTTTTAATACTCTCTAAAATAAAACAAAATTAAATCAATTGTTTGTTATCTTACATTCGTCGGTTCCCAATATCTCTTCGGTTGGCTGTTTGTAAGCGATTTGTGTTATACCCGACAGAACATCCTTCTCGTCCTCCCGTCCCAGCGATGGCCTCTTTCGGCGCCCTTTACTCCGAAATGTGGCCAATATTTTGAGTCCCATTTCTTTGAAATTCAGTTGATTAGGGTATTAGTCGGCGCGTAAAATACGAAACCATTGTATTGTAAACCAAAGGCAAATAAATACGAGAATCAATGGATTGGTGTATCGATGGGTCAAAGTATATGAACGCTAATTGTTTAGAGAATTTGTAAGTTTTTTTATTGATTGAACACACCATTAGATTATACATTGAATGCATATTTTAAAACGTGAAGATATTATTTATATATATAGAGATGTAATATCAAAATATCAGTCGTTTTTGTATTTTATATTTTTTTTGTATATTTTGTATATTAATAATAGTATTGTATTTACAATTATGAGGGAAAAACTTAACAACAAATTCCGATCACAGATTAGATACTCGTGTTTCAGAAACGAAACTCTAATAATAGTTATATAATTATATATAATATTATTGTAATAACTATTGTATAATTTTTTTGGTTCTGATTATAGAGATATTTAAGTTAATTAATAATGAGATAAACGAATCATAAATATATATACATTTGGAGTTTTTAGTAAAAAATACTATTAAATTATAGATTTGAAAATTTAGTGCTCTTTTACACAATAAAGATAGGAATCAATTCATTATTATATTTATATATAATTTTTAAACTCAATTCTAAAGGCCTTAGTATTTGTACAGAATTTTTTTTGTGGGATTTTTTGTGTGTATTTTATACTTAAAGAGTTGAGTGACATAAACCTCGTACCAGAATAACCGGTTGTGTAATACCTGCGCCGCGCGGGGGCTCTAAACTGCTATTCAAATACGAGGTTTTCAATACCCGTTTCGATTTCAATACAATTCTTGTATTCATTAATGGCTGCGAAGGCTTTGGGGTCATCGCCGCCGACGCCGTGACCGACATTGTCTTCGCTGTCGTAACCGCTGTCCTGACGGCTCCGTTCGGTCTCTAATTTGTCGGTCTTTTGTAATTTAGTGGACGATTCGTTGGACGACTGGCTGTCCTTTCGGTGTGAATTCTTGCGATTTTTGGCCCGTTTCTGGTTTTTCGACTTTCGGCCCAAAATACTAGACGTCGGCCGAAACACAGTCTTCGAGATGTTGTCCGAAAAGCGCACATTCTTCGTGGTCTTCGCCATATCACCGGCAGAGCCCATGATATCGTCGTCGCTATACATGTCGTCCAGAGACTGACACGAAGACTGGATGTCCGACATTATATCAAAGACATCAAAGTTGGGAAACGCATCACAGCTCGACTCAGACACAGTTCGACGGATCCAATTGTGCGTGTATTTCAGTATTCCTCTGTGTGTCACCTATTGTTGGACACAATCACATCATCAATAAAACCGGTTTATATAGACTATAGGTCTGTGACCAACAATTATCCCCATTTCCCTCCCCTCTGGTCAGCCTTACGGGCAAAACAAGTCATTACTGATAATCAATACCTCATTAGACGACGACTCAGATATAGTCCTCCGCGAGAGTCGACTCTTCAATGATTGGTTGGACGGGTGTTGAGAGTCATCGCCAGCGCTATCACTATTACTCTTCGGGAGATTATTGGCACCATTGCTATGACTGCCGGGAGGGGCGGCGGTGGCGGCCGAACCACCGGAACCGCTACCCGATTCGTTCCGGTGATCGCCGCCCGAACCGCTTCCGTCCGGTTCTTGGTTTTCGTCATTGTTATCACAAACTGAAGACTCGTTTAATTCATTGTTTTTGTTTAACTATAAGAGTTGTGAACAACAAAAAAAAATCAATAAAATTAATAAAACATAAATTTAAATACAAATAAATAGAGATTTACGTTGAAATTGATCACAATTTTGTGTCCATCAATGGATTGGACACTCATTTGACTACTCGTGTCGATGAGATCACCGCCGATGCGGTTGACATCATTGGGTTGGGAACCGATTGCACTCTCTTTAATGGCATTCAATTCGCCGATCATATCATCGATGGTTTGGTTCACATTCGCTGCCATTGTCTGCGGATTTGAAGAGACAAAGAGATCAATGAGAAGAAGACAATGAAATCCAAATGAAATCAACTGAAGAGTCGTTTTTGTATTTGCAATGAAATACAAGAACTCATTGAATGAGTTGTGAATCAAATGTAAACCCAATTATAATTTGAGAGCAAAAAAGGCGTTCAGAAAAGTGTAGACAAAAAAGTAGACAATAGTTTGATTTCGCAGACAATTGTCAACCGTTTTATGCATTGCTTTTAAACACTTAGACTTACATTAAATGCAATGAATTGTCGTTTAATTCAAATACAAATTCAATTCAATTGTTGTGTGAAATGAAGTGTCGGTTAAATGTATACTCTTTTGGGTTTCAAATGTGTTTCTCTTGTATTCAATACAGAGATCTCGTTATAACACGTAATGTAAAGGTATTGAAAGGCTTTCGCAAAATACACGACACGTATAGTGAAGGCGCGCCTATTATGCGTCCAGAAGGCGTTTACACACCTTTAGTATTCATGTGAATTGAATTAGTTTAATAAATTAATTCAATATTGTATAATATAAAATTGTGCATGGTAACTTTAATAAATTTTTATTCGATTTATAGTGTACCCTATGAAACCATTGTGTAGTTTGGTCTCGAATGATAAATATAACTTTTATTAAATAATAAAAACTTAACATATCAAAATAAATTAATACAATTTAATAATACAATTTAATTATCAATTTATAATACAATTTAATTATCAAACAATTATAGATCAAAAGGGCATCGAGTCTTTACACATACTTTAATAGACAATAAAATAAATGACAAACTAATAATAAATATGCGCCCAAATGATGCCTTTGGCGGACATTTCTAACATATGCCCAACACTTGGCAATCCTTCATAAGGAACAGCAATAAAAGTATTTACAACATAAAAACATAACATATCTCTGCATTACGTCTACATTAAGACTGCAAACAGTTGTGTATTAAACGAGTTCTCGAAGTTTCTGTGCCAT